ATTTTTTACGGCATTCAATAGAATAAGTACTAAATTATTACATTCTTTGCGAATATTTATTGCTTAAGAATTAATGGAAACGCTATATTAGGCCGTTCTACGACGCCTCGCTGTCGTAATAGAATAATTAATACAACTAAAACGCATAACTCGTGAATTTTCAATTTACATCCACTGTAATTAACTTTGTCTGTGGTTTAGATGAAAATTCGCCACAAAAAGTCAAGGCTTATTTAACAGCCAAGGGGCAAACGAACTCTAGACCGCTAACTCGATCATAAAAAGCGGCGTCGCACAATCTATCGATTATTCGGTCCACAGAATCGATTGGTTGATAATATTCCGATATTCGCGAGCGCGTTGGAGCGTTACAACCTACTTCTTGATTGCTTTATTTAATTTAGACGACTTTTTTCTATTTGAATAGAATAAATAGAAACGAAAAGTCGTGCCGTTTTATTTTCTTCGTATAATTTAATAGCCTGCAGTGCTCTGGATACTATTTTTCATATACTTTTTATAAGAAATGATTTCTTTATAGTATTCAAAATGTTCTAAGCGGCGCTTATTGTGATATCGGAAATAGAGCTATCGCAACATTAGAGCTTTAATGAAATAATACCTACGGAAATAGGTTTTATTTGATTTAACTTCTAATGCTGTATTTTAACAAATATATCTACAGGAACTTCACTGTAGTGTTTTACCATAACGTAATACGAAAGTTTAAAAAACAAAGAAACTACAACAGTAAATGCCACTAGATGGCAGCACAAACTATTAAATTTTAATTGCCATTTCATTAACATGTAACATAAAGATATTTTGAATTAGCAGTTGGAAAAAATTAGACTAATTTCGAAATTTAGATATTATAAGAAACTTGAGATACTGTCATGCTTTTTTATTTTAATTTTTTACATAATATTTACTTTTTTACATAAGTAATTAAATATGAATACATATCATAGACAATATCCAACAACGCTTAGCAACTTCTAGTTTGCTTTTGAGAATTAATTTTTAAATACTTAATCAATAACAAAATATTTCCTAGGTGGTATGCATAGGAGATATGCATATTTTACTTTAATAATGGCAGCACGACTCCTATATTTTATTCGAAATTAAAATATGAAATCCAATGGACTTCACACTTATTATGAAAGGACATTGAAAATATTATAAAATCTTATATTTGTAGGTGTATAAACCTTTACAATTTTATTGCATAAGTCTTGATTTATTTGTCTAATATTATCCTTTTTATTTATATTATAAGGTTAAAAAAACACAGTTATAATACCAAGGTACTATAGTAATAATACAAAAAGAAAAAATAGCAAAATATAAATAATTTGTAATGTTTGAATATATATATATAAAAAAAAACATGTTTAAAATAAATATAAAAGATGTAATATTAAATCAACAGTTGGTTATTTACTTTATCTCTCATTAAGAAGTAAATATAGTGAAACTGTTTCATAAAATATTACTTTAGTATTTAATAAGTCAAAATAAGCTTTAATTAACGAACTTAAAAGGAATCGCCGTAGAACATCTATCAAAATTATCATTTAAACTTTAACATCTAGAAAGTGTTGTAGTGGTAAATTAATACTTTCTTATTTAGTTTGCACAATTGAGCAATGAAATTAATTATAAAAATGATTCATTACAGTGTTTTTGATTATTTATTGATGACACTAATAGTAGCGGGCATAGCCGTTATAATACTCTGAATAAATAAAGTATACATTTTGTATTAGTAGTGACTACTTTACGTACTATTAATGTACTAAATATACATCTTAAAAAATATAGGTAAAATTGATACTTTATTTGTTTACAATATTTACAAGCCCTTTCTAAAGGGATAGACATTTAGTTATTTTTGTATTTTATTTAGGTCAGTTTAATTTAGGTATTTCTTAACAAAATAAAAAACCAATTTGGAAATATAAATCCTTATTGGATCGAAAATTCATGTTTATCAATAGCACAGCAAGTAGTACAAACTATCTTAATATATAGAAAATACAATTGAAAATAGGTTGCACAAATTTAATATTCTGTACGATTTATATTTTGTAGTAGCAACAATAGTTTCCAACGAAAAAGAATTAACGGTCTTTTTAAAAAAAGATCGCATTTCATAAAAAAAAAAATATATTTTGAACAAGTGGAGGTGAATTGGTCAACCCTAAACAATTGGTATGGCGGACGCTAGCGGCGCGTGAGGCAGATGCGCGCGCGCAGGTGGCGTTCCGCTTCGTTGTACGGAACCATAACCTTACCGAAGCACTAGACGGCTAGCGTAAAAAAAATCATGCCTTTCTATTAAAAGGTATTTACTAACTTGTAAAGGCGCTACTTTCGAAGATGAAAGCGAAAATTATAAATATCTATAGATTTAAAAAGTAAACCTGACTTATACTGTAAGATTATAAGACTGACTTATATCAACGTAAGCCGAAAGTACTGTACCTAGAAACTTGAAATTTGGTACAGGGGTTTCTTTAAAATTCTGATTTTGATACCACGATCTCGTGAGATTTGAGAATATAACAAGTGATATTGCCAACACCTAGGTAAGTAATTAGTAGTTTTTGAGAATCGTTTAGAGAGACCTCGATTGCCCAATGGTCAGCACGACCTCTCTGTGATGCGGAAGTTAAGCAATTTTCAAGAAAACCCATTATATAATGGATGGCATAAAATTTACTATCTCGAGCTCCTCCTTGCTTCGAAAGGCACATACATACGTCCTTTGGTTCTGGCTGCAGTAGTTGTTAACATCTACTGATTTGAGCCCGTGTGTTGGATCATGGACTTTTCTCCCTACTCGATTCCATTCATAGGGAAGGCCAGTGCCCCAGTGAGGATATTAAAACTGTGGTGTCGATGAAGATGGTCAGAGTACTGTGCGCGTACAGACTGTTTGATGATATTTGCTATGTTGAAGTTTCCACTAAACTTTACTAATTCATCAGTACAAATTCAGCGTTTAATTGATTTCAAAATGTAATTAAAGTGACGCTTAATTGGATCTCTGTCGCGTACTAATTAAGTGTTTTTTTGTGCAACAGTTCCATCACTAGGAAGGCGGAAATATTAAACCATTGTAGCGTAGGGTTGAAAGTTTTCAGAATAATTTATTTGTCAAAGAAATAAAATTAAAGAAATTAATACACGTAGATGATAAGCCTTTTTTAATGTCAAAGGTTGGAGGAATTTGAGAAAGAATGAGATTTATAATAGTTAGAAATGTGTCACAATATATATCATTGTTTATAATGTGGTATTTTGTACCTAAATATTATCGGGGCATTATTAAGTAACAGCTACTTAATACTCTACATGCGTTATCAAATAAAAGCTTTTTATAATCTTCCTATTTATTAACATTGTCTTCATTCGTAATGTACTTTTAGGAAACATTTAGAGTTTTGATAAAAAATAAATAAAAACAAACCTGAATTTATGAACATTATGCAATAATTCGCACGAAAGACTAATTTTTATACATATTCAATACAAGTAATTAGTATTTTAACAGGTGTTGGTATACCATAATCAAAATTATGGTATACTAAAAACTATTCTTAATGAAAAATACTTAAAAAAGAAATCATTAGTCACTGGGATTAAGAATATCTATAATGATTTTAAAATTATGTTATACATCGAGCCAATGAACTGAGATGGGCTTGACTCAATAAACTAGGATCGAATGTTTTACATCAAAACGAATAAGGAAAATATCACCTAGTATGTTTTTAAAGAAATTCAAGGTTGTCTCTGACGACAGGCTGTTTTACTTAATTAGAGTTAAACAAGCCTGTCATTGTTAGCTTTGTGATAAATGTAGTCAACGGTTACAAGGGGAACACGTTTTGTGTTAAAATAGTTTTAAGTGTACACCGAATTTCAAACTCCTTAAATCTAATGCTTTGGTAAAATCATTAATTTTTAAAATTTGAACTACTTGTTTGAATCCAGAAAGTTTCTTGATGGGCTATTTGCTTAACACATAAGCTTTGGGCTACCGGTTCGCATAAAAAGTAATACGTAAACGTTGATAGCTGAAATGTCAGCAATGAAAGAATTGACAATGGTAAAATAACAGCGTGAAAATTTATTTGAATGGTATAAACGGTAGTTAATAGTGACATAGTCAAAGAACATTTTGTAGAACATTGATGAACTTAAGTTAAAGAAATAGTATAACAGGATTGCGGTCTTTGGACTCCTTCTGGATCTCATTTTGCCTTTGTCACCCCATAATCCAATGCAGAGAAAATTGAGACGCTCAAACAAACCATTGTAAAGGATGGCATTTCTGGCATTCACTACAGTAAAAACTAAAACAGTTGAATTAATAAAATATTTCGTAATTTCTTAATAACAGAAGCATACTTAATGTAAGATCGTCATTCTATTGTTTTCATAATATCACCTCTTTGCCATTTTCTTTTATTAACCCACATTATAGTAATTGTAAAAGAAGAAAGCGGATGCTCGCATATTGCAATTTAGATGGGGAAATGTGATATAATGCGTAATAGCGCTTAACGCTTGATTGCCACAGGGCGCAACACTGGGTCCGCTACTATATAAATGCTATTCAAAATGTGCGCACCAGTTTTTGTAATTATTTTTATCTTTATGGTTGTTCTTGCATGTCATATTTACCTGATACATATACATCCACCATTGATAATTGGGTTGATTATCCGTTTATTCAATCTTTTAATTGTTATATGTGATATTTTAGTGTCGGTAGTACTAATAATGTTACATATCACAATCAGCAGCAGTAAGTTTATCTGAGGACCAACTATTTGAAACTTATAAATAGAAGAAAAATAATTAGTCAAAAGAAACAAATAAAAATCACTTCATAATTTCTAATATATTTTTCGACGTGAAAAATATATTAGAAATCAAATTTCGTTTGTTACAGGTTCATTTATTTAAAAATAGCTAACTTGATAATGGGCGTATCAGAGCCCGGTTGTTCCACCACCCCTGACCTTCCCCTCATGGACCCTGAGCGACCAGGGTCCGGCAGTGGTCTAGATGATGAGGACCTGCCGAGGAGGAAGCAACGCCGGTACCGCACAACTTTCACCAGCTATCAGCTTGATGAATTAGAGAAGGCTTTTGGCAGAACGCACTATCCAGACGTCTTTACCAGGTGAGATAGATAATATGTGCAGCATACAGGAATACGATCCACACGGTTATAAGCCAATCCAATGTTCCAACAGAGAAGGTGATCTTTACCCATCGTCTGTAAATCAAAATTCGAAGACAATTCGCGGTCAGAATTTAAGTTACCATCATGGTCACCTTTTTTGGAACGCTATCTTACAACCGTTTGGCATACACTTTACATTCCATATCCTTCACAAGTATTACATGTAACAGATATAACGCACATCCTTATATGAACCAATTAGAAAATGCATTTATAACCGTAAAACGAAAATTGGAATTTTCCTTTTATTTACTAAAAATGTTTAATGTATGAACACAGTTATACTAATTGCTGACTATCAGTGTGGAGATCTTACAAATCCACACAATGGCGTCAAAATTGCGGCTTTGCCTCCAATTACACATGTATATACATACCTACAGCGCAATACCACAATAATACCACCTACCTACCAATAAAAATTCTCGACATGATATATTATTCTGTTCCGAGATTCAAAATGTTTTTTAGGTTTAGACAATAATTATAATTCATACTCGTTATGAGTATCGGCGAGCATAGTTTTGCGGTCACATATCACACGGCGAGCACAGTATCACTACACTTTGCCTAACCGTTAAGCACTTTGATGTATTTACTATACGTTAGTATAACAAAGGATCATCGCATGTGAAATTAAACATTCGATAAACTTAAATTGCAATAAAAAAATATATATCCACTGCCACTATCATTTGTAAACATTTCTCTTTGTTTATGAATTTCATTATTTGGTTTGAAGAGCAAAAGAAAGCGCATTTTCTTTGTTTTTTCCTATATTATATTTTTTTACAAGCTAAAAATGTAGTGTGTTAAAAGCCTTGATACATTCACTTTAGTTTATTTTTGTGACGGCTGTAATGGATACAGGTGACCATATTTTGTTATATTCAATAAAATTGAGCATAAAAATATCTATATTAAAAGGTGTTAAAATCGAATCAGTATCTGATTTTAAAAGAACTACTTTCAGGATGTGCTATGTTGTTAATAGGGATGACGACTAATTTTTGTTTGTTTGTCCTTCAAGTAAAGTGTTAAAAAATATTAAACACGTATTTTTTTATTTTTTTCATAATCATAAAATAACGGCGATACATGGAATTGAAATTTCGCATGACTGTGACGTAGCGAGCCCCCACTCCTCAACTTTAATGCCTGTTATCTAAGCTATTTCTTGTTAAATTGAAGTAAAAAAAAATACGTATTTATTATTTTTCTATTATCTGACTGACGGACTAAAAAGAATTGCATTTTTTTACCCAGTCATCATCATCCCCATTATGTTACAAGAGTAAATAGCAGAAAATTTCATCAATACTATATGGTCATACAAAGTACTACTAATTATTGAAAAATATTTTGCTAATAATATATATTGCATAAGGAATAACTGCTTTTTTTCTTTAAAATAATTTTTAAAAGTTACACACGTTGATGGAAATACGCTTGTTTGTTCGATTTATAAAATAAAACTTCACAAACACGTTAAATGTAATAGAATACATTAGTGTATTTTTATTTTGTTCCAGAGAAGAGTTAGCTCTCAAAATTGGCTTAACAGAAGCGAGAATACAGGTAAGAAAACTTATTTAATATACAATTATATTAGCGACTTGATGCTTGACATCCGAGGTGTTAACGTCGGTATTAATACACTTATTAGTTGCAAAAGATTATTATTTTTTTAACTAAGCACACCTTTAATTTGTACCCAAACTAAAATAAGAAACTTTTAACAGCTGTTAAGTTACGCATAGCTCTGATTTCATCATTCCAATGGAACTTTCAGTATGATTGAAAAAGACAAAACACTGTGTAACTTTACAAATACATATACATTACTTATGATTAAGGCCGTTAGTATTTACCAATTCTGTTGTACATACTAGATTAAATTTAATTTTTCAAGACTGTAAATAACTAAGATACAGAAGTAAACTATTATATAATACAGAGAAGAATATATTTCTCTGATTATATATGACTGCATAATAACGTTAAAACAAAACCAAAATTAGAATGTTTTTTAGTTTAGATTTTCAAGAGTTTGACCATTCTGTGTAAAAACCAATATGGTAGTTAAATATCTTGGAAACAATACTACAGTTTCTTGGTTAATTTTCACAGCTTTCATAATATGAAACCTGCACGCGTAGCATGATATACTCGAGAAATGCTTTGTCTACACTCATTTGTCAGTTTCTCGGGTCGAGAGTGAGGTATAGTATGGGCGCACCCGAGAAAAGTGACATTTGAGTGTAGACAAAACGTTCTCGCAATCGCCATGTTTGATCTTCCTAAACACGTGGTGATTTATTGCGACCCGATGTATGCGTGTGCCAATTCATCCGTTTATACGGAGTCGAGCCTATCAATCGATTGTTTGCCTATCAATCAATGATTGTGTGATAAATAAACTGATTATTATTATTATATTTTATGAAGTAGTGTAGTTGAATAGATTTTTCATTCTTCTCACTAATCCCCTTACCAATCTATGACACCCGGAATGAAGCACACTAGTTGTAAATGATACGACCGCTTGTTTTTAGCACACTAACATTTAATAATTTTATTTTGTAATCTATTTTAATACATACAAATATATGGTATTCTAAAAAGTATAGTTATATAAAATCAAAGAGTATAATAAACCTGGTATCAAAAGCTGTTTACATACTAGAGCACAGTTAGTCGTGAATACTAGTAATGCCACTAAATTCGTGTCACTACAAAAACAGTATTATTATGCAACAAATAAAACATATGGCATTATTCAATATCATTAGAATCAATGAATAGTTTAATGTCATAAATTCAAAAACTAATCTAATATCGTCAATCATACTGTCTGTATGTCTAACTTTTACATGATAATTTGAGTTTTTATAGACCTGCTATGCCATCATTTACAGTATTAACGTCTATATAACCTGTTATTAATGTGTTTCTCAAAAGACAGGACACATTCTTCCGCTTCAAATAAAAATGTCATTTTGAGTTGCGTTGTAAATAACGACAAAAAATTCGCACGCCAACCCCCCGCTGACGCAGAACAGGACATTCAGACACGCGACGCACATTTATGAATACAAAACAGACTTCTCAGATAACTATCGATACTATAATGAGACTATTTGCTATTGATCTTTGACAGTCTCTGTAATGCATCCTTCGGAAAAAAAACACGATTTTATTTACATATGTTTATGTATCGCAAATTTCTAAAGACACGTTCACACAGTAGCTTTTATGAAATGTTACAAACAGTAGAATAATAGTTTCTTCTACTGTTGAGTGCCAGGGACAAAGTGGATTTTTAAGCATTTTTCATTAAGAATAATAGTTTCTTTTTTTTCATAATACTGACGAAATTAAAAAACTTTTTACGTAAAACTTGAAATATCATTTTGTGTTTCAACTAATTTACGCTAAATATTAATAACCATACATACACCAAAATATTTCTTACAAAAGACTATATCCATCGCTTCTTCTATATAGTTGGTGGCTGATGACGCGTCGCTTCTTATCGGCTCTCGTAATTTATAGCTTATGTCGTCCGCGTATGATAATGTTATTACGATTAAAAGAAAATTTTGAATCCATCTAGTAGTTTCGTAGCCCATAAGATGCAAACAAAGAAACAATCAAAATTGTCGCTTTATAATATTGCACCACCACCACCAGCCCTTTTACGTCCCCACTGCAGGGGCTCAGGCCTTCCTTATGGATGGTAAAGGAGGATAGGCCATGACCCTCCACGCTGGCCCAATGCGGATTGGAGGGTATTAACGACTGCAAATGCAGCCGGGACCAACGGCTTAACGTGCCTTCCGAAACACGGAGTAGCTCGAGATAATAATATTTTGGTCACCCATCCCGTGACCGACCCTTGCGAAAGTTGCTTAACGACTACGATCGCGGGCCGCGGCGCTTATCCTCTACGCCATCGAGCTACTCACGCCATCGAGCTACTCACGCCATCGAGCTACTCTTTATAATATTAGAAAGATGAAATTCCACCCTGAACACTAGATCCGTCGCGTACTTCCATCACACGCTTCACGAATCTTGTGTCTGATATATGCTATCATCATCATCAAGAGCCTAATATCTAATTTTAAAAACCATCGCAATCCCTTAAATTTCAAAGATATTCACGAGCTTCAAGCTACAACTATTTGACATGTGATAACGACGTTATTTTGAAATACACTATCGTTATTATAACGTTAATTGAAAATTTCTAAGGCAAGCATTAGACGTAAATATGATTTTAATTAGTTTTTATTACTAAGTTTTTCATTTAGAATTTTTTTCATCATTTGTAGCGATTAAATCGCAATAATTTTTGAAATTAATTCAAAAAATCGCTTTTACAATAATTATACAATAAGGCCACAGGTTTTATTATAAATATGGCACATTATATAGAGCGCCCGGTACAAGTTGCATGTTTACTTACTTAAGAGCCATTGTGGTATTTATATCTGAACAGCGCTCTTACAGTACTATAAATAAACAAGGTTTAGCGCAGTGTAAATGAACCCTAAAATTGCAATTTTAGTATCAGTCCAAATTCATATAATACAGAGAATAAGCAAATCAACTTCTAGGAGTAAATAATACTCCCGTAGAACTTTTGCTAAGTCTTTGTTTAATACTATGAATTTTGACTAATTCTAAATTCAGTCTCAGCATAAACTTACTCCACTCTAAATGTTAAATAATTACTAATAATTTATTTACATAATAGAATATTTATTTAATTGATTGATATAATAATTATTAGTTGCTATGGGAGCTCAACTTTCTTTTTAATTGAAACTTTAGAAGGGTCATACGAAGTAGGTTAGTATATAACACTAAACCTTGTTTATTAAAATCGTAATTTAGAAAAAATTACGAATTTAAAAGTTTTGAAATTAGTAATTATCTCTAACAGTGTTATGTTAGAGATAATTATGAATTTCCATGCAAATTTTTAATTCGTCTTCGCCAGTATCACCTCTCGAAATAGTAACCCTTCTGCTTTTGAAAAACCCGTTTTTCTTAACGTGAAAACAATTTTATTGATCTATAAATATAAAGATTTTTTATATAACAATTTTTATTACTTATGACATCTAGAATTAATATATTGTTCATTTGACTTTTGTTAATATTTAAAGGTCTATGAAACCATTATAAATCTTGTAACTTTTGTTGTTTTGCAAATTCAGTAACTAAATTTTTTACACAGAAAAAATCATCATTTATATTACAGAATTATTTAACTATAAGGACATGGAAAAGAGTATAAAAATCGCATTAATAAAAATAAAATAATATACCAGAAACATCTATGTAGATTGATCATGATCCACTATTGTTTTAAACATTTGCGCTTAGCCTCCCTCTATTATAAACCCATTTTTTTTAATTTGCCTTTTAATTTACGTATATTATTTAATCAATAGCATGATCACTTGCGATGTGAATTCCTAATTTTGTAAAGGATTTGCTTCTTTATTTATATTTGTCTGTCTCAATATACTTCAGATAAGTGCCAACCCTAATTCCATGTTTCAGCTCATCAATAGCTTTTGTTTTAGAATAGATTTTGTTGTTATTTTATACTAGCTGTGCCCACGACTTCGTCTGCGTGAGAAGTTTTTTGGTAGATTTTTTCTCCTATGAATGGAGTCGAATCGAATAAGATCAATAGGCCATAACCCACTATGCGGGCTTAATGCGGATGGGTGGGTGTTAACGTTATACATATAGTGATTGTTCTATAGATCTTTTACGTATGTTTATTTAATTTTTTAACTTATGCGCTTGGTATGAATAGACCCATGTTTGTCATTTATAAATAAGGCGGGGAAGAATGCTAGAGTAAATTATGCCACGGAAATATAAAGTAAGCCAATAAACATATTCTTGCAAGGATAAATAGGAATGTAGAAGTTGTATGCGTGTAAGATTTTTAGTCATAGTTAATAATATAGCTAAAGTAATTATTAATGTTAAGTTTTTTTTAAATAAGCTTTGAATACTATTTTACTCTTTTATTAACCTGCTCACAATTAAGTTTTTATTGACCATAATGTGACCATGAAATTGATAGATTAATTAACATTTCTGTGTTAGCTATTTCGTAATAAGATAATTAATGTTAAATGTTTTAAGATGCATTTAGTAGAAACAACGTAGAATCTAAAAGATCTAAAGTCTATACTTTTTTAATTAAAGAGGAATGATTCGTTTTTAAAATATTTTGTTGAAATTTTGTGAAAGTTTTTGTTTCAAAAGTAAATATTATTTGTTTTATAATTTATAAAGAAAAAATAATAACGATCTTAAATCATAAATTGAATATTTATCATTTTTGGTAAATTACTTATTCTCATAAGGTTATATATACAGTAGAACATTGGTTAGCAAATGTTTTGATTAATATTGGTTTGTCAACAAAATACTACAACATCGTTATTTCCCTCTCACTTCGATAGGTAGAGACCTGACCTATTTCATTATCACATAAGAGGGCTACAGTAAACTAGATCCCTCATTCGATTTCTCAACTCTCAATTTCTTCATTTCAGTTAAAAAAATTCTAACTTATTTATATTTATTTATTTAATGGAATAAAGTATTCCACAACACAGATTTTTCATAAATAATATTATATATAATATACAGTAGGCGTATTATATCTTCTTTTTCATTTAAAGTAAGCAAGAAAAATCAATGTCGACGTTTTAAACCTATTGAGAAGAAAGAAGTAAGTATTTAAAACAAAAATCAAAATCGAATTCGCTCAATCGCGTCGTGGTGAAGTAAATTTTGTCTGCTATTCTGAGTTTAAGTAACTTTCGTCATGAGCAGTTATTAAAAATTTACTATCACGAGCTCCTCCAAGCTTATGATGCCATGTCAAGCCGTAAGTTCCGACTTCATTTACATTCGTTATATCCATCGATTTTCACTGGCTTTGCATGGTGGTATATGGCTCCTACTTCCTATGTAATTTTATTTATAGTGAAGGCCTCCCCCATAGGTCTTTAAGACGATAGTTTATGTGCTTCCTGCAATCAGCAGCTTCCCGCAACCTTTGTCAGATGGTTGGTCGGTCCACCTTGCGACCCTGGTCTGGCCTACCCACTGAAAGTTTTCAGGTGTATGGATGCCATTCCAGAACCTTTCCGCCTCTACGGCTATCGGTCCGTCTGACTACGTGTCCCGACCACTGCCACTTCAGCTCAGCAATCGAGTAATATCAGTAACTTTAATTCTCAAAATCAATCAATAAGTTGAAAAAGGTTATAATAAAAAAAAAGTAATAGACCGAATGTTAACTAAGAGATATTATAACGATTGATATCACAAGTTTTCGAAATTATGGTCACAGTACACGCAAGCTTCCTTATAAGAGATGTGGTGAAACCCGGCCCTGTCCGGCTCCCGTATTGGTCTAACGACACCTTAACGACCACTTAATCACTGTTACCCGATACTGGACGTTATCATTAAACTCTGAGGGAATTGCAACGAGGCTTCATTTGAAATTGGCAATTTATCAACGCGGAATAATTAGCTGTTGGCTCTAATTGTTATGTTTACCTAAAGTTGATGTGAACGTTGCCAACTAATTTTAAAGGCTCGATTTAAAAGAATATTCACTTAAAATAGCAAGTAATATCCCCACTGCTCGGGCCTTTGCAAAAGTTACTACATATCGTAGACCAAACGCACTGATTGCTCTGTCAGCGAGCTCCTCTAACCTAGTCTAAAAAGAACTTAACCAACAGAATCACCAAATCTGTCTATATTTTGACGAACTGAGCAATGAGAAATGTGCGCCATAAAAAGTTATAGGAAATTAAAATACGTTCCTCTTTTTTATGTTAATACAAACATGTTGTCGAATTAGTATTATTATTTGGCAGATATAAAATAAAATTAATACTACCTGTTGAACATAGAACTATACTCCTTTTAGCATTAATATTTGAAATCGGTTTAAACTAAAATCATCAAATCAAGTATTTCAATAGTGAATTTATTTATTTTTGTTGTTGCGCATGTACGAGTATAATATTTTTTAATTTGAGTATATCGATGGGGTAGAGGTTAACGCGTACGGTCTTTGATAAGGGTTAAGCACGTTTCACAATGACCGGTTATTGGATAATTATTTATCATCTCGAACTCTTTCGTGCTTCAGAAAGCATGCGTTGTTATGGTCTATTCTTCCCATTTGATTCCATATAGATTCTTTATAAGGAAGGACTCAGCAGTGGATAATTTGGAGAGGATTTGAGACTTTTAAATTAGTTGTGTAATGTCAAATTTTAGAATATGACCTATTTATTTAAGGCGTTAAGCAATTACGATGTATTTCTTGAACGTCAACTATGCCACGTGAATCGATTGTATTGAAATCTTAATTATAAAGTTTATTTTACCGTGGGATTACATTTAATAGCTAGGAATGCTTTAATGCTATCTAGAATGATCATTATCTGTTACGCGTATTGCTTTTCAATCAGGCAACTGTTAGGGCTGGCACTATTATATCGTTGAGATTCATCTTTTGCAATAAGTTTGTCAGTTGCATTCTTATCAGTTTTTGTGGTTACACTACTTAATGATCAATAAAATTACGTATGCAATTCCATTAAGTTAATTGCCAATCAAAAAGATCGTGATTAATGAAATAGCATTTTGCATATGTTTACAAGCAGTTTATTCCTCATAAGAAATCATCATACACAACGCTTGGTTAATCGACACTGACACTATTAATTTTAAGCCTTATTATGATAATAGTAAAGCTTCAAATGCATTGTAGTAACTTAAGATGTTGCTATATTATATAATGAATAATTTTCGAGGCTTAATAAGACAATGTCAGTAATTCTGTAAACAAATAAGGCTAAATTAAGATTTAATAATGTAAAAGTATATTTTGTAAATAACCAAGACACCAGTAAACGTGAAACGTGCAAGTAAAGTAATTATGTAAATATTTTTTTGATAGCAACAGGAATGGCTTGACCTGTAGATAGACATTAAAAACTATTGAATAAACATTGAATAGTTAAAAATATGATGATCAATATTGTAAAACTTATTCAATCTAATTAATAATATTTAATATAATGTTTATAGTCAAATCAAGCTTATGTATTATTGTGTAGTAAAAAAACTACACATTAATACATAAGCTTAAATTATCCCTAACATGGAATACTGACATTCTTACCTGAATTATTATATATCGAATAAAATAATCATCTTTAGAATAAGCCAAATAAATCTGTAAGCGGGTCATAGATTTGCTGGACATATTGAAAATAATTCTTAATGGAAAATGCTTAACAAATCCGCTTTGTCCCTGGCACTCTGAGACGGGATTCGAAAAATTTCTTTCGCAATCCGGGCTACTGCTCTAACCACTGAGCTACCCAGGAACTAACAGGACTGACGAATTTTTCAAGTACCTGTTACTTTTTTTGTTACTACAGAGCGTATTTTCATCAATAATCAGGCAATCTACTTTTTAATAACAATTTAAGAGGGAATTTAAAATTTTCTAATATTTTTGTCGTTGACAAACCCTCACTAACTCAGTTTTCACATGATTGCTTCCAAGACAATTATTTGCCTAATTTACTTAACCGTTCCTGCACAATGTCAATTTCCTATTATAACAATTAAACAATGCGGTTTTAATTGAGGTCGTCGACACTCATTCAACTTCCGAATTTCAATTCTCAGTAAATGAGTGCAATGCGAACTTCCCGATGTAACTGTGACTTTAATCTAACATCAATAAAGATTGACGCCAATAATGAGTGCCAGCCCTGGCTAGCGAGTCGTAGAAAATTATAATTGATTTAATTACGTGCCACAGTTAATATTTAAGACCGAAACATGATTTATGTTTGCTTGGAAACAAGAATTGTCTAACAACTCTTGGAATTGTAGTTTGTTATTCTTGTTTGGAAAAAATATTGCTATATTAAGCTATAAAACCTTTGAAACAGGTTCTGAATAAATAACCAGACAAGAGGAATTTTGGGAAAAATTTACAATGTTTCTTGTAGGCAGGATATTTATATGTTTTAAATTCTTCCTTTTTTGAAAACTGAATCATGTGAATGTCAAAAAAAGGTGTATTTTAGGACCTCAACAAATATTTTTACGATAAACATTTAGTTTTACAGTTATATAAGAATAATTATCAAAGTTATCTCCAAAACTACTAAAACTTAAATAAAAAAATACAATAATTAAAAAAAACATCCTTTATTATCTTTGAAATAATTGTTTTATTTATGATGAAATTAAAGTAGAACTATTTGACGAAATTAATTCATTGTCAACAGGTATGGTTCCAAAACCGTAGAGCGAAATGGCGAAAACAAGAGAAAGTGGGACCCCACGCTCATCCATACAGCGGATATCTGAGCGGACAGCCGCTGCCTACGTCCGCCTCGCTGCCAGTGGCACCACACCCTTTGTCCCAACTAGGTTTCGGTTTGAGAAAACCATTTGACAACGCTCTCACTTCATTTAGGTAAGTTTCTATTCTCAGAATTAGTATTTTAATGCGCGTTTATTAAGAATTTCAATTGGTTACTTGACAGTTACAATAAAAACATATGAAATATGTTGAAAATGGTAAATTATAAGTAAACAGTTTCTTAGTATATAGTATTTTTGATTTCATATGAATTGTAGTTTATTAATTAAATTAACTTGCGGTTTATAATTTGTGGATCATAAGAATCGACGGAGTATCGTGTGATGTCACATTTCCATAATCTAAACGTCAACGTCTTTGTTGAGAATGCAACTATTAGTACGGATGTCTATTGAAATGTGACGTCATCTTTCGGTTGCACGTGACTGATTTTTTTCGCGGAATAACTCAATGAAAAAAAGTATGATTTTTTGAAGAATAAAATTATTTGTTATGTAAAAGTTTTAAAATACTTTTTCATTCAAGAAATATTTATATAGCTAATTTTACCTTTATCCATTATTTGTAGTTTTACGTGTTTTTTTAATGTATTTGTTTCTTCTTCTAATAGATATGCCAACTCCTCATTGTTCGGAGCTCAATATTTACCTCCGCTGTCGCGTCCCCCCATATTCGGTGCTCCACTGTACGCCACATCACCAGCACATTTCCATTCGATCTTCGCTAATCTAGTGCCGGAGCCACCACGATTGTCTCCTGAACACTCCAACTTGTCTCCCGAACATCCAAGACTAACACCCGAGCAGCCACGACATTCGCCCGATCAGCGACTTTCACCCGAGCAATCCCGATTGTCTGAACAGTCAAGGCTTAGTCTAGATGCCCGATCACCATCGATTTCTCCTCCCATCTCTCCTGGCTGCGAAGCTCAACCACCTGTTGAGGACGTGAGAAGTTCTAGCATAGCAGCCTTACGGTTGGCAGCGAGAGAACACGAATTGAGGCTAGAGTTGTTAAGGCAGAGACCTGATTTGATTTGTTGATAAAAATCGAATTAATAGATAACATTTAGTATGTACGCACGGCCGCATGTCACGCTACACACCACCACCGTAAACAGACCTCTGTTAGCAGGGAAGTTTTATAAGAAACGCTGTCGATACAAAGTCCACAATGTATAGTCTGACGTGCAGCCGTGTGTACATTAATTAAGAAACTCGCTGATGCCTTATTGATACACTAAGGCTGTTTAGGAAGTATAACTGTATATTTTTAGTTAGTGTTAGTTAAAGTTCATGTAATTATAGATAGATAATATTAAACAAACTACAGTATTTAAAATGTTAATTTAATATTTAAATGATGGTAGAATATTTTTAAATAGAGGTTTGCTCTTTATATTACTTAAAATAAAATATGGTCTGCATTTTTAGTGCATTCTATGTATTTAAAAAATTTACACGAGTATTATTAATTTTTATAGACGTCTGTTATGATTTTAGTGAAAGTTTGTTTATTTGCTCACAATAAAAATATAGGTTTACACTTTTTCAAGACATGTTTATATACTTTATATTAATGAAGTTATTTCAGTATAGCATTGTGAATGCAAAATTAATTAAATATAATAATTAGAAAGAATTTTTATATTTATCGAGAGTTTACATATTTGTAAAAATATTTCTTTCGGCTGTTTGGGTGAATTGTTTCAACATTGATGAAAATACGCTCTGTTGTAGCGAAAATGTAACAAGTGCTTGAAAAATTTGTCAGTCATGTTGGGTTTTGGGTAGTTCAGTGGTTAAAACAGTCGCTCGGATTGCGAGAGGGCGACTGTTCGAGTCCCATTTCAGAGTGCCTGGAACAAAGTGGATTTTTAAGCATTTTCATTAAGAATATTTTTCGGTATAGCATTTTGAATGCAAAGTTGATCAAATATCATTAATAACGTAATTTTTTGTGCATTCTTTGATGATCTATGGTACCAACAGCTGCAGTGGTCTTTAAATTTAAAAAAAAATGTTAACTGTATGTTATATCTACTTTTATTTTTAAATAAAGAAAAACTCCATTATAACTCTATTTTAAATTTTATTACTCCGAATTACTAACAGTTTATTAGAAGTTTTATTTTTGTTTTCAAGCAATCATCGGACTTAATTATAAGTAGGCCTATTTGGTTTTGAGTAATATATTTGTATGTAGTGTAAATTTTGTAAATAAATAAATAAAAATGTATGAACGTATTATTATTCTTTGATATACACTGTTCATGTAGGTTTATATATTGTTAAATGAAATATAGTTTTACTCCGTCCTAGCATATGAATTATTGTGTATTACTGAGAAATAAAAGTATTTTAAAATTTAAAAATATCTTTGAATTTACGTGATACCTAGCCTAGGGTCTAGCAAAGGTGGAACGGGCTTTCCCAAACGGACTCTAGTAATTCTCGTCCTAAATAAATTTGTGCTATATGAACACGAAATATGAATCTAAAAAGATATTCGAAACTTAAAAAATGAATAAATATAATGGTGGTTAAGATATTCAGAACTGTTGCACTTTGAAGCCTAGAAAACTAGTAACAATATCGTTAGTACGTATGGGTACTACTGATAATACAATACATAGTATATACAATACAAGTTGGGGAAAAAGTCTTTACGCATATAGTATGCTTACTCTTCAATTTTGGGCCAATTTTGGGCCAGCGTGTAGGGTCATGGCCCATACTCCTTAACCATCCATAAGGAAGGCCTGAGCCCCTGCAGTGGGGACGTAAAAGGGCTAGTGGTGATGATGATGATGATATAGTATACATAAACTTGTGATCAAATCTTTTTGCCTAGTTTAATTTTTAAAGAAGATAACTCCAAATTTACATTACCAAAATGTGTGATTTTCAATTGTTTTTCTAACTGTCAAAATAAGTGAATTTAATTAATTAATTCGCCACATTTTAATATTTTATTACAAGAAAGGTAAAAATGCAACGCAAGCCGCTAGAAAAAATTGTGGCGTTTCAGGACATATTTTACCACTCAGCAAAAATTAAGAGTTTGGCTAGGAGGTGTTAATGCATCCGCCGTATAGTCCTGACTTTGCACCTTCAGATTTCCACTTGTTTCAGTCTCTTCAGAATTATTTAGGCAATGTCAGGTTCATATTACGCGAGGTCTGCCAAAACCAAATATCGCGGTTTATATTTCTATAGTAATGGGAGCATGTCCCTACCCATGAGATAGCAAAAAGTTATCTGAAAAAATGGTATCTGCTTTAGATACTTTAGTTAAATGCAAATAAACTTTAAAAAATCTCTTGAATTTTTATATAAAATGCGAAGAAATTTTTCCCCCAACCTATTATTTACACTAATTATAATTTAAATACTATCAATATTACCGTTAGCTCTACAATCAATAGATAGTATTGTTTTTCTTTTTGTTTTAATGTTGATACCATCCACGGAACTGAAACTATCGATACTATTTTAGTATATCTGTTAAGAAAAACAAAGTATTTCACTGTTTTGAATGCTTATAAAAATATCAAAACAGTCTCAAAATCAACGTATAAATCAAAGAAAACTAAAGGCTATTGTCAGACTATTGTTGATTATATAATTTTGCTGTAATTCATAAAAAATATTAAAATTCATATTATTGGTAAACGATTACCAAGATATATTAAAATAGAAAATAGAAAAAAAAAATACTGATTTAGAAACTCCTTATTTATTATTCTTTCAAAAAGTATTATCTCTGTTTCACTTAATATATTTTCTGTATAACCTACCTTCTTTTTAACAAACTTCTTAAAAGGAAAACGTTATAAATTCAACTGAATGCTTTTATTTTATGTATGCTCCACGGTATTTGATCAAAGATAGCTCAGTTTTAATTTCTGTTTGAGTATATTACTAATCTGCATCATTAGTTATTTTTTGTAAACTAAAAAATTAGCAAAATTGATTTTTATTTTTCAAAAGATAAAAACAACTGACTAAAATGGGTATGCAACTCTTAATAACTGCAAAGCCAGTTAACATATTCAAGGAACTTCATTTATGTAGAACTAGTCTAAAATTATCTCGGTTTGAATTGCTAAACATCTTTGTGGTTATTAAGATTTTCTATTTCGATTTTTTGAAGTTGTTTATGCCATTTGTTTAAGCTCTATACAGTCCACCGTGCGAAACGCTCAGTATAGCTACACCATCAGTGACCCAACGAGATGAGTCAGTGGGAGCAAATGACACATAATCATCACCAATTTGTGTTAGTCACGGGACAAGGCCGGTGAAGGGTTGGTACGTGCCGTAATTACCTTACGGCCCTAACCGCGGTCGCACTCAACATTTGGGTCTAGGTAAGATGAGCTGGGTCAATTGTAATAGGAATTCTTTGATTCGATGTGCTTTAAGAGTCAAAATAATGTAAATAACATACTCTGAAATATCTCGATTCTTTTGATATTGACTCGTCATTCTAACTTATTATTGCTGCTGAATAACCATTTTATATAGCCCGTGTGCTAAAGATATTTTTTAACTTATGTGTTTTTATTAATTTAAACAATAACTGTGTTGTATTTGGTAAATCAAATTGTAATTTTAGCACATTTGATTTAATATTTGGAATAAATGATGAATAGTTTTAATAAAATTCCGAGTTCTCGACGAGATAAAATTGTGAAAAAATCAACTCGATTATTTTATTTAAGAATCAGTAAAACCCCTGATAAACTTATTGCAGTGAAAATTATTACTGTACTTATATTGCGTTAAGAATCACATTAAGAAATATAATATTATTAGCAATTTTGATTGAGATAAAATCGCAAAAATAGACTTTCGGAGACTTTGTGATTTTTTTTCTATTGAGAAATTTTTATAAATTTTCGTTTTGGCAGTGATATACCTTACAAATATGATTATTAATCACTTGCAACTCATTTGGACATATTTTTTTCAACGAAATAATTAAAAAATCTTTACAATAAAAAAAATGTATTATTTACCATAATTTAGAATAGATAAAAAAATATTATAGCTTTATTAATTTATTCACTGTCAAAAATTAATATGAACCAAAAAGATTCGTTGTCTTATATAAAACAAAATAAAAGGATCCATAACACCCTGATGAATAGTAAAACGATGTCCAAAATCACATTCGTGGACCAGATCCTTTTAAAATTATATTTAATAATAAACATCAAATTTTTATTAGTATTTATTTGACAAACAATTACACGCAACCCTTTGTGATGATAATGGTGCTTATCGTAAGATTTTATGAGTCTCGAGGACCTGTCTGGAGTTTAGTGACGTCTCGGAATGTCGGTATCGATATATGGCAAACTATACGAATAAATCCAACTTTAAAAAAAATTGATAATATTTGTAAAGTTTCTTTATATAGCAGTGAAATACATATATTAATCTACTAAGTTTATACATTCTAGGCGATTCTTCTAACATTCAGTTTATATATAGCAAAAATCTCAGAGATTTCACATTGTCTTGTTGCATATAAGTTATTAGTAATTACTTTAATTATATTGTAGTTATTCTTTCTACATAAATATGATTATTGGAATCATTATTATGATTATTTATATATATAATAATAATTCAGTGTATATATAATATTATAAATACATTTTAATATCCACATCACTTATTAATTTCTGAACAAATAAAGTTGTTGTTGTAATACAAATACCATCGATGTCGACATTTTCTTTGATCTGTACCACATCTCTAGTCGTTCCGTTTTTTAGTGTACAAACCTAGCAGGATGGCGGCGCGGGCGCAGGCGCTTTCTGCCTAACTTTTATTCACCGATCTTTAGGTACAAAAGTTTATAGCCTATCGTAAATTACGCGAACAAATAAAGACGTTTTGTGAACGAGAACCGACATCGAGACGTTTTCCATTTAAATTATTTAATACACCCCGTTTTAGTGGCGTAATATTTATAATAAGCTTTGTACTGAATCAATTTCACCTCAATATTTTACGTAATTTGCTTTGCGAACATACTAAATTTTATGCTTTTCACTTTGCCCACACCTAAAGAATTTCGTGTCTATTATTCGTAATACGATAATCTTACATCTATTATACATTACTGTCTACACTGAATACTGATTTTCTACATAAAGACGCTTTAAATACGACGCAGTGTATTTTAGTGTTAGCTTTTACGTTCTCTCAATTTTATTATCCATTTACAATTTAACCGG